GGTGGTGGTGGGAATAGTAGTAGTAGTAGTAGTAGTAGTAGTAGTAGTAGTAGTAGTAGTAGTAGTAGCAGTAGTAGAAGAAGTAGTAGTAGTAGTAGTAGTGGTGGTAGTAATGGTAGCGGTAGTAGAAGTAGCATGGACGGCATTGATGGTGGTGGTAATAGCAATATTAGCATAAACAAAGGCGAGATTATAACTGCCATGTCAACTTAAGCATACCTAGAAAACGGTAAACGACTTATGGAGTTTATTGGTGGCACAGATCGATCAATCGGAATCACCCAGAAGGCTGGTCATAGCGTGTGAACAGAAATCCGGGTCTGTGTTTCTGTGCAGTCAGCACTCAATTAAATGCGCCCCCTGCATAATCATCAGTAGGCAGTTATGCTGAGAAGTCTGCAGGCGCGTTAGAGTTTCACAATTAAGGGTGTTATGGCGAACTGAAATGAATCCCGTCAGTAAGCCTGACCGTAATTTCTCAATTAAGGATCCTTCAATCCTCTATTTGCGTGTAGGAATTCCAAAAGAACTCAGTTCGGCTAAAGTAGACTTGGCATTACTGCTCTAAATCAAGCCTCCCCTAGATAGAGTCCGGATTTTTGCTGAAATGACCTCGCTTAAAGGCACGTGACAACAACCGTAGTATTAGTGGCGGTAGTAGTAGTAGTAGTAGTAGTAGTAGTAGTAGTAGTATGGTTAGTAGTAGTAGTAGTAGTAGTAGTAGTAGTAGTAGTAGTAGTATGGTTAGTAGTAGTAGTAGTAGTAGTAGTAGTAGTAGTAGTAGTAGTAGTAGTAGTAGTAGTAGTAGTAGTAGCGTTAATAATGGTATTAGTACGAACGGTAGTATTAATGGTAGTTGTAACGGCAGTATTAGTAGTAATAGTGGTGGTAGTAGTAGTAGTAGTAGTAGTAGTAGTAGTAGTAGTAGTAGTAGTAGTAGTAGTAGTAGTAGTAGTAGTAGTAGTGGTAATAGTAGTAGCAACCGTAGTTACTAATGCATAAACCCCTCAGCCGAGTTTGCTACCGGAAGCCATTGTATGAGACGGGCGACGCAGCTCATTTAATTCTCGAACGATTTACCTCACATCCCTGCTTCCAGATCCCTCGTTTCATCCATTTACTTGTTAGAACATGACATAAAACAGCCCATAATTGTGAGTCTCGTCCCGCCCCCTTTTGTGCTTACAGTATCCTTTACCTATCCACCTTTAGCCTAGTCTAACTGCAATTATCTGTTTACTTCTCTTCCCTTTCGTCGATCACCGCGTTCACTCTCATCGCCAGTTGTTTGAAAGGTTCAGATAAGTCATCAGTGCATGGTAGACGAAGAATAGATATGGTGGTAGAGGAGCGCTCACCGATCGTTTCTACGGAACACACTCGTCCCGTTGTGCCTTACGGGCTCTCTCTCTCTCTCGAGCCCAACCAGCAGCCGCACAGCGGCGCGTGGTATAGGCAGAATGGTATTGCTGACAAAAAACAAGGGAGACTGGAATGGCCATTTATGGCTTATTAGCCGTCGTCAGCCAGTCATACTCGACCCCGAAGTGTGGAACACCGGGGGATCCGTCCCGCGACCGGTTAATTAGAAGTTCAACGCCTCTAACCACTGAGCCACGGGCTCGTTGTCTTGTCGGTTGCGATCGTGAATATACACTGGTACGCGACGCTCATCGACCGTTTCTTTGGAACTCACTCGTCTCGTTATGTCTTACGGGCTCTCTCTCTCTTTCGAGCCTCGGATGACGACGGCTAATAAGTCAGAAATGACCATTCCAGTCTCCCTTGTCTTTGTCGGTAATACCACTCCAAGCCGCCCCCTGTCTCGTGTGGAGTTCGGTATCAGGTCGCTCGTGGCATGCGTAGATGAGTTGCTTGCTTCTGTCAGTCACACAGTCCACGTGTATTACTAGCGGTATTGACTTTGGCCTGTCGTTGATGTCGTTGGCCAATCACCGCGCCCACCCTCCCTACCGGATGGCCAACGTGTTCAGATAAGTCGCCGATGCATGATAAAGGACAGAAAGGAAGGTCGACACGGAAATGCCTCCTTTCACAATGACAAGTCTGACGCTCTTGAGGACACTACGACGGGCCGAAGCTTGTGCCTCAAACAGTCATCAGCTGCTGAGACCAGTCGGTTCCCCTTAGAGACTGGGATAAACCGGCATTTACTCCTTCTTAATGTTGCCCTTGGGGCGGTCTCACTCCTGCGAACCCCAAATGTCCCTCTCCTCTGTTTCTTTGAAGCCTGGTTCTCGCAAAGTTAGACGTCAGATTGTGTGTGGGACGTGTAGACGGGCCGATTGCCCCCGTCAGCACAACGTTCACTGATCAGAAGAAGAAGATGATGATGATGAGGCGATCGCTGGAACAAGGGCTTTTTTCGCCTGACGTTTCGGATTCTCACTTGAATCCATCATCAGAGACAGTGGCAGAAAAGGGTGGCTCGTGCACAGGAAGTTGCAGTATTTATAGGATGCAGTCGCTATGCTATCGCATACCTATGGTAATTAACCGCGCTCCCCTTCATCAAGAATTACTGCCCGCTGGAGCGTTAATGGCTTGATGGTCGGCATGCAAGTTGTTACTTGCTGAAATCTCATCACCCGTGTCGGATGCTGCCGTGATGAATGCTCGGCCATCTGGCTCACCGGCTTGCGCGCTCCCCGAGTGGTCAATTGCTCTGGTCAGCCCATGTCTCAGCACTGAATATGGAGTCGGGATGTCGTTGCACTTCTTGATAGACTGAGGTCCCGTCAACCATGACTCATGTAACCCCCGGCTCTGACACGCACGGAAATACTACCCGGGAATGAAATTCATGCTCCAAACGGCTACCAGCCGTTGAGACAACTCATTCTGCCTTTGAGACGAGGGAAGGACTGAAGTGGTTCTTGTTATGTATGCAAAACAGAAGGTTAATTGGAAATAGGACTAGTACTGAGTACGATAGAAGGCCCAAGTGAGGAGGCTTGTGGGAACGGCGGGGTATATGGCAAGCGGGACCGTTATAGGCTGACGGGAGGCCGACCAGCACAAAGAACAGGGGGCCATGACCTTGATGGTTCGCTTGTCACGCGTTTGTGGCATGATGCCCTGACGGCCCGGGCAGGATACGCTGCAGTTCTTCCCTCAGTTTGCCTCAGTCTGCACTGCATTTACGTCCATATCCGTGTACTTGGGAGAGGACGAGAGAAGGAGGGCGAGACGGATGCTGAGCGGGTCTGCATGAGTATCAGCATCATCCTCTTCACTGTCGCTTCCTTCCTACTCAAACTAGTTAGACGTAATGATGGGCCAGATTTACGCGCCTGTTACAGAATCCGCCGAAGGCACAATCTTCACAACCGAACTCCCACTTTTAGGGAGCAAGTGTCTCTGCTGAGGTCGACATATCCGACGCGCCGTGATAAAAAAGTGTCTGTGTGGTTTTATGGTAATGTGGGAAAACTGCGCAGTAAGCTCGGCCTCCTTCTCTTTCTCTTGCGCCCGTGTCCAGGCTGAACCAAGCTGCCAGAAGCCGGGGACCGGCTAAGGGGGCTTGAATTAGCAGATATTAGCCCAACAATGGAGGGATTGTTGCACTTTTAAGTCTGAAAAATCACCGCCGCCCCTACCGAAACGGACGGTGAACTGCGCGTGAATTAGTTTAAAGTGGCGGTAGAATCGCTCGGAGTCTATAGCACTCTCTCATGCGACAGTCTGACAGTCTTGGCCGACGGTGTCCCTCACAGCAGGGTGAGAGCAGGGACGCTGACTAGCACATGATAGTAGACTTACGCAGCATCTACCGTGCTCACTCCTCCTAACCGACTTGGGCCCGGTTTCAAGACAGAGACAAGAAGATGGGAGGCGAGAAAGGCGCGGATGCCTTTCACGGCCCTAGGAACGCCGCCACAACCGGCTCGGAGCCCACGGAGCCACCTTGGAGCCATTACTGTCTGACTCCCAGCCTATTGCTTAGTCAATCCATACCAACAGACACATGCTGGGCCGTCTGCGAGGTCCGAGTTGTCCCCTCAGTTGGCGACCTTTCAAGCCATGGCTCTTAGCGCATCGAGCACATTAGATTGTTTGTAGCGAGGAAGATGCGCTGAGCCGTCGACTTCACTCTCTATTCCCACTCCCAGGCCCCAGCCACTGTCCGAACGGGTCAGTCATCTGATGCGGGAGATGGGCGCGGGGGCTGACAGAGCTAAAGGCCCTGTCTGCGCGTGCCACACACACACGACCTGGCGCCTGGATTGTGCACAAAAGAGGATGGGCGGAGTTGGTCTCAAATGCGTGAGAGTGCCACACATCACGCCGAGAGGGAACCATCGCAGCCTGACTCAAAATCCACCTGTCCGCCGCTCCGCACACTGGACTGACTGTAAGGTTTCAGTTCTATCGTCAGATGGGAACCTTCGAAGCCACGACGTCTAACGCACCGCGTTAGTCTCAGGTTCGGATCACACATGCGGCAGAGGGGCCACATGGAGGAGGGGCCGAGGAACACACTCCCCACTTACGTCAGAAGTGCGTTGTGTGATGATGGGTGACGTTGATGTGCGTTGTAGATGCTGATGAGAAGATATGTGATGTAATGGTATACCCGGCGGTGTTCTATCGCAGGACTTCATGGATACCTATGCGGTCTCTTAGGCGCATGCGGTGAGTAACTATGCGGATGCAGTATGGACAGCTAAGGCAACGGCGTCTGGTGTATGCTGGTGCTCCAGGTACTGGTTCGCTAGTCTCTGTGCGATAGATTCGCAGGTGACCGACCAGGCCGATGCTCGAGGCGAATGTGCGACTGAAATGAGGACAGTTGAGACCGAGTCAACATCGCTGGGAGTGGTGGTGGTGGTGGTGGTGGTGGTGGTGGTGGTGGTGGTGGTGTGGGTGCTGGTGGCTGACGAGGCGGTTGGTGCGTTTCGGTTGAGAGCAGTGAAGGTAGAGGAGGTTGCGTTCATCATCACCGCGGAGGTGTCCGCGATATATGGGGGTGGGGTACGGGGATTCGGAGCAACGGCAGTGAGGGTGGGCACTGTTGTCGTCGGGCCCAAAGGTGACCGATGAGACTCGCTGAATGTTCGTTGACAGCGCGGATATGTTGGGTTGAGTGACGATGTTGCGGGTCGGGGGCACCTGAAACTTGCAAGCTTCTCATTTTGCTTAGGTGGTGGCGACGATTCGGGTTGCTTCGTAGATTGCTGCGCCAGTTTTTACTTCCCTTCTCCAGACCGATCTATTCTGTGTGAGAATCTACCAAGTCTCCAGGTTGATCTGCAATCGCTTCAAGTAGTTCTGCAGGGGGGTTTTGTAGCGACGTTTATGTCCTCCCGGTCGGTGAGCACCCGTGACGACACCCTCGTAGAAGAGTTGTTTGGCTAATCGCTCTTCGTCCACCCTCACCAGCAGGTCGCTCCTTCGCGGTTGCAGTTGCCCCAACACGGCGTGAATGCCAAGGATTCCGGTCCGTTCCAGGACTTTCGTGTCTGGGATTCTGTCTGCAACAAGCATCCTGGAGTAGACGACCCTGGTTTCCGCTCCATACAGCAGTGAAGTCAGGACGACGGCCTTGTACCTCTTAAATTTGTATTCATTTGAAGGCCGTGGCGGTGCAATAGGGAGTTCTGTAACCAACTGTGTTTTTGGCGGGCTTTAGAGATCCGGTCGGCCATTTCGTCGTCGATTTTGAGGCAGCGTGAGAGTGTGCTGCCCAGGTAGGCGAAGTTGTCCACGGTGGTCAGCTCGGGATCGTTGACGTGTATGCGAGGAGCCCTGTGTGTGTGTGTGTGGCGTCCGACGATGTTTGGTGTATTACTCCGTTTTGTTCGCTTTGATGGTCAGTCCGAAGTTGACACACTCGGCGGCGAAGAGTTCCATGCTCCTTTACATGCCCTCTTCATTCATGGTGTTAGGTGTGCAGTCCTCGACGAAGTGCAGGTCGTGGACTGTCGTTGCAGATAGTCGCGCTGAGGCTTGCAAGCGCCTCCTGTTGAGATGCCCATATCCCAGGGCGCTCAGCAATCCAGACGTCCATCAACAGAGCAGAGGAAATGAGACTGGGAGGGGGGGGGGTACTCAGTCCCGCTTTTCTGCTAATGGCTCGGAGAGTGCTCTATTTTTCGTGAAGCGCGCCATCATCTTGTCGTGGAGCTGGCGTAAAATGTGCTTTCGTCAACTTCACGAGGATATTGTGGGAGCGGGTTCGCATCTCCTGGCACTTTTCCTGTAGTTGGCGGGTGGCGAAGATCATGTCGGTGGTCCGGCGTTGTCATCAGAAGCCACATTAGATTTCCGTCTACAGTCCGTTTAGACAATTGAGGAGAGGACAGGCAAAGACCTCTCCGGCGATGTTGAGATGCGAGATGCCTCCGCGGTTGTCACAGAGTTGCCGGTTCCCTTTGCGCTTGTACATATGAACTATGACCGTGTATTTGAAATCCTGAGGGGCCCGTTCTTGTCGTCACATCTCCTGGAAGAGTGCCGTGAAGTGATCCATCAGTCAATGGTCACCGTGTTTGTAGATTGTAGTAGATGAAAGCTACTACTGTCACTCGCCAGCCATGTAAGGATGAAACAACAAATATGTAGGGCTATAACCTACTCAAATAGATAGAGTAGGCATTATCTCTAGGTAACGGAGGTTTTGGGTGCCATCTCCCATTTGTTACCAATATTTCTTTCATATTTTTAATTATTCTAAACTTGTACTTAATTAACATAGACATTGGACTCATGAAATGGTGTCGGTTTGCGAGTGATTGACAATCATTCGTAAATTTCGACACATTTCATGAGTTAGGTCACTAACTGTACGTAGTTTAGAGGCTTATCCGACTCTTGCGGAATTTTCCTAAAGCCTACCAATCAGTCCTGCGCATGGCGACAGCAGCAGCAGGTACTCAGGCACGCCCTCGCCACAGGCACCTGAGTGACCCTAGTCCTGACTGCTCCAGGTTCTGTACAAGTAGTTTCCCAAGCTTGTTTAGCAGTCTGTGGACAGGTTTATTCCCCAGAGTTCTGCCTTGTCCGACACTGGCGTACGCAACTCTGTCAGTTTTCGCCCCTTCTCTGAAGCCAGCTCTGTGATCTTCATTTATTATGATCTGTTGTGTTGGCGCAGTGCAATCAGCGACCGTGGTGAGTTGTGATCGGTTGCAGTGGGCGGCAGCGTGACGACCGATCACTGCCTTCCGGGTGGCGCACTCAGGGCCTGCTCTTCCACCGAGATGCCCAAGACTGGTCCAGTAATGGAATGCAAATTCCCATTGAAAATGCGCCTCTTACCACCGTTAGTAATAATGGTATGAGTGTAAGGGTCGATATCTAAGCCCATCGAGGCAGGGATTGTTAGAATGCGATGGGGGGGAGGGTTACTTAAAGATCATAATGGAAAAAAGCCTTTGTAGTTCGGCTCTCGACTCCAAAGAGAATCGAGTTACCCTATCAGCTGACAGCCTTCCAAGACACAACTTTCAACATACTATCCTGATTTAAAGTGATGAGCGTGCTTAAGCTCACATACCAGTGGCAAGTCCGGATCTCACAGTATTGGCGCGGATGTTGACCTAGCACTCGTCTACATGCTCCACACATGTTATAGGTTCCACTCCATATGGACCAGAATTTAGAGTACAGATGTCTCACACGTAGGTACTGCAGATGTTCACATACCGGGCTTCGTGCGTCATTTTGAAGCTGGCGGGTTACACCAGGCGATTGATGTGTGTATAAGGACTTGACGGACACGGTTCAGACATTGCGGACAGGGTGTTTTTGTTGTGCCCATTGTCGTGTAAGCACCTTCGGCGAGGTTTGCACTTTCTGCAAAATGCGGGTGTGACACATGTTGACCCCGGTCATTGATCGTGCTTCTGCAACCGCACTTCGATTGGGACGCAGGCGCGCGACCAGGCCGACAAGGGATTCGAATGAGCGATTGTGAGGAGGGCATTTTGACATTTAGTCCAGTGTGTTTACGAAGGCTGTCAGCTGATGAAATAAATCGATCCTCTCGCTCCCGTGACTACCTCAACAGTGTTGCGTGTACAAGCCATTTGGGATACGTATAAAAGGTTTGTACTCAAGTACTTTTAAGTAGCGGAGAATAGTTAATTTTTTTTCTGTGGAATTAAGGATACCTTTGAAGGAAGGATCGCGGACGCTGGCATATGCGCATTTTGTAGCACTTGAAGACGTTTTATTCTTTTTGCAAGTGAATGACTTTCGATAACAAGTAAATCCATGCAGGAATAGGCGCGCACAGTTTTACAGACCTACTATATTGACCAACCGCGCGGCGTGCACGTGCCTGTTTGTGTTTCTGGCCCCAAACGATGAAGCGGCTTTTGATTGGCTGAACGCAGGCAGAGTAAGTCCGAAACAGTCCTGCATTTATCTACCCGCATCTCTGTCAGCCCCTTCCTCGTCATAATTCAGTTCCTACCTTATCCATTCATTCTCGGATATTTAGTCGGCTTGGCAGGACATTTAATGGAACTGCTGATGTTTGTTCATTAGAGGCTATTTTTAATTGGTCAAAATAAAGTTTTTCTAAAAAACAAAAATGTATAGGGAGGCCGAAAGACTTCTTTTATCAGTTTATTCGTGAGTAAATACGCATCCGTTCGGGAAGGTGTGACTATTTGTCTGCCTATAAAGATTATTTCAGCAAATGCGTGCATCAAAATATCACAAACCGAGTCTTTTTGGTTCTTACGCCTCCCGCTTCAAGGATTATGGTATAGGTTGGGTAGCTGCGTTCGGGATATCTATGCCATAAATCTGTTGCCGTCTAAATTTACGATGAAATGAAGGGGGGCGGAGCAAAGGAGTATATGTGGTTGGGGAGGGATAATTAACGACGCCAAAAGTTCAAAGTTAATGCCAAGGGGAACATGGGGAACAATGACCCATAATCAATTTTTAAAAGGCTGCCTGCTTGATGCTTTTGAGTCGATGAAAACTGATTCATCAGAATGCTCTCTAGCTTTTCTTTGCGTCGAGTTGTTGTACCCGAGGCAGGCGCAGGTGAGGGAGGAAAATTATCGCGTTTACATACCGATATACAACGGATAATGAAGGCACTAGCAGAGGGGGGGGGGGCGTGGCTAAGAATTTTCAAATAGACGCATAAATGCAAGCCATGTGGTATGAAATCGCCCTCCCCCTCACGCCACCCAAACGTGATGTGCCCCTTCCCGTTCTGCTTCGATTTTATTGAGCTGCGGAATGCAAAGGGCCTCAGTGACCTAGGGGATTAAATCCCGGACTGCAGATGCGCCGTCATCCGCAGTTGAGTGGTCACTGGCTGATCGCGGTTGGTAAGTCTGACAGAAGCGTTTCAGTGTCCCTAAACTAGGTCGGTGACGTTTCTTGGTGTGTGCAAGTATTCTAGGGTTACGCGCTGAGCCTTTAATGATCTTTTCCTCCACAATCGGCGAACAGTTACTTAACCACCCCGACTCAAAACGTAGCTTGTTCCCAACTGCCCCCCCAGCCCTCATATCGAGGCAGTTAGGCCGAATATGCCGATTTTCCCGCCGTTTTAAATTTGAAGATAAGTGGAGGATATTATTTTTAGTGGTTTTTCTGTGAGATCTAACGGTTTTAGTACCTGTTTTTTTGGTTGAATTTCCTTAAATACAGGCCTTTTCTCTAAGAACTGCCCGCTGCCATCTCCTTTC